TGGCTATTGATCTGATCGGCAGTGACTTCCAATTGAAAGTCGTCACCGATAGATGCCGCAAGAATGAGGTTGCGTTCGACAACCACCTCGACTTTCTCACTCAACGAAGAATCATGTTCAAGTTTACGTTCTTGTTCTGGTTCTTGTTCTTGTTCTTGTGGGATAAATTTGGGTCGAGAATCAATCGAATTGGAACCAGCTTCTGGGTCTTTTTGATCCTCCTCCTGTGGAATTGAACCCACAATTTCCACTTCTTTTGTGCTGCTCATTCTCCTGAGCTCAAAGGAAGGAGAAAATGACGAAACTAAGGTAAGTTAATGGCTGAAGTTCAAGCTTTTAATGTGTTATAAAAAGATCTGAAAGCGGTCTGTGCATTGCATTTCATCCATAATGATCCATTGATCCAACACCTTATGTTTCTCTTTTCAATTCTGACCCACCAAACAGCTACCACGATAGAAAATCTCGAGTTTTGTTTTAATAGTGTCTCTAAACTTTTAGACCCTACGAGACTGAGATTAGGGTAAATGCATTCATGTTTAATAGCGTCTCTAAATTTTTAGAGCCTACGAAACTAAAGTTAGGATAGATGCATTCATGTTTAATAGCATCCTTAAACTTTTAGCGCCTACGGAGAATTTTCTGTATAGATTTGAATTTGACATCAAATTGTGAGAATAAAAAGTAAATTCTATACGTTAATGGGAACGAATATTCATTATAAAGGGGTGAAAGCCTCTCCTTTGTATATACATTTTAAAATCGTAAAGTTGACAAAGATACGTAACGAGTCAAAGCGGACAACATCTGCTAGCAGTGGGCTTGAACTGTTACAAATGGTATTAGAGCCAAGCACCGATCGGTGTGCCAGCGAGGATGCTAGGCCTCCAATGAGGTGGATTGTGAGATTTCAGATCGATTGGAGAGAGAACAAAATATTCCTTATAAGAGTATGAAAATTTATCTCTAATTAACTCATTTTATACTTAATAGGATAGGAATTACGAAAGATTTCATATTTAAACCTTTAAAGTTTTAATTATAATAATTAAATTAATAATTTATTAAATTTTATAAATTTTGCATAAAACAATCGGTTGAAAAAATTTGTGTTAATTTATATTTAAAATAATATTAATTTGTATAAAATCCGATAAAAAAAAAATTAATGATAAAACAGTAATTATCATTCTAGAAACAAATAATTGAATTTATTGAATGATTGAATGTGTCTCACGTGGTATCATTGGGATGGGTCACCCTCGTTTGAAGATTCTTTATGCTTTTGATTGGATTGATCTGTGACACGTGGCGAGAAATGATTAGCCAAGTGTCAAGGACTTTGTAAATGATTGCAGTCCAGCTGGAACTCGACTTTCCACGTCAGATCCCACGCATTTAAAAAATGATAAATTTATGTATTAACAGAAAAAATGGCAAATTATAATTAAGTTATGATTTTATTAATTTTTAAAACGTGGATTAATAAGTTGTGATTTATTTTAAAAACAATAAAAATTATATATTTGTTTGTTTTTTGTGTTTTTATTTTGTGGATTAATAAGTTGTGATTTACATGCTTTCTCTTGCCTTTTCTTTTTCTTTTTTGCCTTTTTTTTTTTTTGCTTTTTTACTTTTTTTTTTTGTTGCTTAGTACACGTCAGCATCCACTTCTGACTTTCGTGGCATTTTCCGGCTCCACCGTGTGTGATAAATATTGTCCTTTTTTTAAACCATTTTAATAAATCTTTACTATCTAAATTCTAAAATGTATAAAATTAGAAATAATATTTTGGAGTTTAAAATTAAATAAAACCATAGATTAAAAATAGGTGAAGCGCTCAATGTTCGACCAACACTACCTTATTGTTATCTCGTCTCACGATCTTAACAATTTGTTCTATGTTTAAAACAATTACTGTCCCCATTATTATCTCTTTTATATTTATTGTTATCTCGTCTCTCATTCTTTGCAACGAAATCATGTGATTCATCGATGCATTTCATGCCTCTTTTCTAAGACTATCACTTTTCAACTTGATCAATTTTAAGCAACATAAAATTAGGGTTTGTTTGGTACAGGACTTGACCAAATATCTCACGACACGAGTTAGCGACAGCCGTGCAACATTTGTATGAAATGACCATCTCGTTAAGGACAAATTTTGCTATTCATATGTCAAGGGCTAATAAAGTTTTGTGTGTTCCACAGAATCTTAATGTTTTCAGTAGTAAATTTGTATTTTGCTGAAAAAAAAAAGTTGTCTTACAACACAATAGTTGTGTCTTAACCTATAGAATATGATGCGAGCCACTTTGAACGACAGTTTTATAATCTTTTTATATGAGTATTGACCTCGAGATTTCTTTTCCTTCTTCCCAATAAGTTTAGTAAAAAGATGAACAAAGAAGCATCTTCCAAAAGCTTCATTAGGCCATAGGTCCACCATTTGCACACCCACATGTGCTCGACCTATCTAGATTGAACCTGACTCAACTCCGACCAAACTATATTCGACTTAGAGTTTTAGGTTTTTTTTTGGTCCAATAACGCTTAATATAGGGAAACTTAATTGGCCTTATATATCCTCTACTTTTATATATATATATATATATATATTATTTAAAATTTAAAATTTAAAATTAAAAAATGAAAATCACATTAAAAAAAATAAAACTTTAGTAAATTTAGTATAATATAATTTATGGTAAACTATATGTTATGTATAGTAACATTATAATAATAATAATAATAATAATACAAAATTAAAACATGTTGACAAATTGTTTAAGATTAGTTGAGTTTCAATCTAATGTTGTGGACTTAGTTAATATGAGAGATAAACGCTGACGTGGACAATGGTATCCACACCGTCGGTCAAATGTTGACTCTCCCGACGGCGGAGGTTCTCAATCACCGCAAACCCACCAGCCTTCTCATACTTTCCGGTCCCACCAACCACCGCAATCGGCGACTCCGGCGACCCTCTCCGGTGGACCCCAAAGAAGCTTATTGTGTCCTCGTTGTCGTCGTCGTCGTTATGTCTACGGACGATCACAGTGAATGCAACGGTATGGCTAGAACCATCCAAGCTGCTAACAAAGTAGAAGCCTTGAGCTCTACCAACAATGGCCGATCCCAGCTCTTCACCGTCAGTCACCTCGTCATCAATGGCCGTGAGCGACCCGAACACGATAAACTCCGGCTTCTTGTCGGTGGTCATCAGCGGGACACCGCCGGGGATAGGGAAAATGTTGTTTTTGGGCTTGGAGAATGGGAGGCCGGGGGCGGGCTCCGCCTTGGACTTGGGTGTTGCTCCGGTGACCGTTCTTGCTGATGGGTGTGATCCACCCATAATATCATGCATGAAGAAAGACAGTGTAGGAGTTGGAGGTTGTGGGGCCGACAGGTGGAGGGTTGTTGCTGAGTCAGCAGATAGAGCTGTGAGAAAGAGGAAGAGAGAGAGTGGAAGTTTGGCCATTAATTTAGGGTTTAGGGAAAAGGATATGAGAGAAAATGGTTATATATATATGAAGTTTAGGATGTAAATGAAGTGGATAAGATGGAGTTGGTTGTTTTTTTAATGCTTTTTTTTCTTCCATAATGTGATTTAGTTGAATTACCTAACCCCTTTCAACAAAACTATTAATGGGTATATGGTCAAAAAGTTATTCGAAAAACGTCGTGTGAACCTCTTCCTAGAATACACGTTTTCAAATCGTGAAGTTGATAACGATACGTAATGGGTCAAAATAGACATTATATGTTAGAGGTAGGTTTGGACTATTACAAATGGTATAGAGCCAAATATCCAGTAGTGTGCTAGTGAGGGCCTTGGACCCCCTAGGCACTGATTGTGAGATCCTACGTTGGTTGGTAGTGAGGCGTAACGAGTCAAAATAGACAATGTTTGTTAGTGGTGGGGTTAGACTGTTACACGAGTCAGACATCGTGCAATGTGTCAGCGAGGATGTTGGGTCTCCAAGGGGGTGGATTGTGAGATCTGACATTGGTAATGGAGAAGGAAACGAAGTAGACGAGTTTTAAAATCGTGAGGCTAACGATGATATGTAACAAACCAAAGTGGACATATTTGTTAGCGGTAGACTTGAGCTGTTACACGTTCAATTTCACTATTGAAAATCATTTACCTAAACCTTCAATTTCATTTTTTCATTGGATAAGAGGATTGTTCTCGAGCTCTCTCAAGAAGAGAAGCCAATCAAAATTTAAAAATTTAATTTTATATTTAATATTGTTTAAAAATCTTTAAAAAATCGATAGAATATTTTTAGATTTAATAATTCATGTAATGTCTCAAGTCAAAGTCACGTCATTTTAAGTAACAGAAGTGTTGACTTTTCAACGTAAGTCCATTATAAAAAATATTAAATTGGAAAACAAAAGGTAACCTACTAAATTATTATAGATGAAAAAAAGAAAAAATATTAAATATAAAATTAAATATAAATTAAAGTTGCATCAACTTGACCTTCGTTTTCATTGAATTATAACAAAAACAGCCCTTTTCAAGTTGACGTTGAAGTCTAAATAACCCTATCTTATAGATTTTCTAATTTTTTTTTTAATAAAAATTAGATTAAAAATATGAAACTTATCCAATTTTGTACGAGACATTCGAACGTTTTCGAGACAAGTGGTTCAGACAACTTTATTGAAGACAAGGGTGTGCCGGTATTACACTCCAGCCCATGTGTCGGAGGTTGGATTATGTAATCCTATTTGAAACCTATGCCATAAATGGTTAAGAGAATCAGGATGGATGGATGTTCGGTATATCCTAATGAGATGATGACATATGGATTAGTTTCCGACATATGTGTTTGAATAAGCCAAGATGGTTGATGTGCCCCGAGACATGGAGACGACATTACGATGCATGAATCATGTTGTTGAGAGCCAATATGACAATGAGATGAGACGAGGCGTTGTTGTATCGCACGCAAATGTTCGTCATTTTAGTTTTATAAGTAATATATAGAAACAAGAACTTTGCCTCGATATGAAACAACATATACACAACAAAAAACATTTATAAATCATTTGGTTTGAAGATCATCACATTCAGTCTTGAGCTGTTGTTCTATCCTTGAATTTCCCAGAGCACATCTTTCATCCAACCAACCAATTATGTCTGCAAACACAATATCGATGTTTTCAACTGTCTCTCCATACAGCAATCCATGCCACATCTCTGGATATTTCTTCAAGCTCTTGTCCCAGCTTGACGCCTTCCTGTGGAGTTGCTCACTCACCGATATATCGGTCACTCGATCGGCCTCCCCATGGAGAATCATGAATGGAATCGAAACCTACTTATTCATAACATATCAATCGTTAAACCACCACTGAACCCAAAAGTTTAAATGATCAATTAAAACAATGAAAAATGGCGAACCTCTTCGAGTCGTTGCTCGAGATCTAAGCTGATTCTGAGAAGTTCATGGCCAGTGTTCAAGCGAGGCCGTCCTTTATAGCAGTAAGGATTGGTTCTTATCTGTTGATGGATTAACATGCTTGAGTTCAAATGAACATGTAACGGCCTCAGACCTACTACTAGTAAATATTGTCCTTTTTGGACTTTCCCTTTCGAGTTTCCCCTCAAAGCTTTAAAACACGTTTGTTAGGGAGAGTTTTCCACACCCTTATAAAGGGTGTTCCGTTTTCCTCCCTAACCGATGTGGGACATCACAGAAATATTACCTGACGTCGGATCTCAGGAGCTTTGAAGGCAACATCAATGATATCTTGGGTTGGGATTATCTTCCATGTGGGTATCAAATTGCAAAGCTTTGTCAATATACTTACAACTATTGGGCTTGGCTTTACATTCTCTGCGATCTGCCAAAAACAGGGGAATTTTCAAAAACAGGGGAATTTCCAAAAACAGGGGAATTTCTTACCTTTAAATTTAAGAATCATACAAAGTTCTAAACATAAATTCAGCTAATTTTGAATGAGAAAAGGAATGTTCATACCTTACACATAGGTGCAACCAAGACAGCACCATCCCAATAATCTGGTTTCTTTCTGTGCAATAACAGAGCCATTGCACCTCCCATGGACTCCCCTAATAGGTATCTCATTTTCATCTTGTTCTCTTTCATTTCTGAGCATTCAAAAACATGTTTTTAATGAAACTCATATGATAATTTTGGATTAAAATCATAAGGATGGAAGATTTTGGATGAAGAAGAGACCAGAAATGGCTGTGAAGTGATTGGAGCAATCATCCACTACATGATCAAAGCTTGTAATATAGCCTTGTAAGCCGTCTGACTTTCCATGGCCTTCGTAATCGATCCCATGAACTGCAAAACCTGCCTTTGCCAGACGAACTGCGGTGCCTATGATTCAAATTGAAGTTTATAATTTAGTCTCAGTTTTTGGGGGGTTTGTGGAAGGAGATAAGTTTATGAGTTGTTACTGTTCATGGTGATGCTGCATTCCATTGCGTAGCCATGACAGATGAAGATCAAACCCTTTGGTTCCTGATTCTTTGGAACCCATTTGCACGTGAAAAGCTTCAACCCTCGTGTGTTCAATATATATTCCTGCAAATCAAAGCCAAAAATTTTACCCGAAAACTACCGCAACCCAAACCCACAGCTAACAAATATTGTCTACTTTGGCCCGTTACGTATTTCAAGTTCACCGTTAGAAGATATTGTTTGCTTTGACTCATTAGGTATTTCAATTAGTTTCACGGTTTTAAAATACGTTTGTTAGAGAGAGATTTCCACACCCTTATAATAAATGCTTCATTTCCCTCTCTTTCCGACATTACCAGCTTTACGGATTGTCAGCTTTGGCCCGTTACGTATAGTCGTTAGCTTCACGATTTTAAAATGCATCTGTTAGGGAGATGTTTCCACATCTTAATAAGGAATGTTTTGTTCCCCTCTCCGACCGATGCCGTCAGCCTCATAGTTTTAAAACTTGTTTGGTAGGGAGAGCTCTCCACACCGTTATAACGAATGTTTCGTTCCCTTTTCCAACAGACCCGTCAGTCTCACAGATTATCCGCTTTGGCCCGTTACGTATAGTCGTCAACCTCACGATTTCAAAACGCGTATGTTAGAGAGAGATTTTCACACCCTTATAAGAAATGTTTCGTTCCCCTTTTCAACCGGCGCCATCAGCCTCACAGTTTTAAAATGCATCGGATATGAAAAAAATTTCACACCCTTATAAGAAATGTTTAACTCCCCTCTCCAACTGACATCATCCGCCTTTAGAATTCGTCTACTAATAACAAGTTTACATACCCTTATAAAAAGATGTTGCATTCCCCTCTCCAACCAATATTCTCAGCCTCACGGTTTAAAACATTTCTACTAAGGAGAGGTCTCCACACCTTTATAAGTAATGCTTCGTTCTACCCTCTAACTGACGTGAGATCTCACGGAACCCGTAAAACAATAAACATCCTATAATCTTACACAGAAAAACAACAATAAACTTTAAGGGCTAACCTCTTCATAAGCAATACCATCAAGTGTTTGAGCAGCCTACAAGACATTCAAGAACATGTCAGAGAAAGAGAGAGAAAGACACAACACAGAACAAGAGAGAGGGAGAGAGAGGGGACAACCATGGCGAAGAATCTGTCAGAAGAAGAAGAAGATGATTGAGAACTTTTGAGCTGAAAAGCGAAGATGATTAGATATTTTTAAAGGCAGCCATTGAGGAACAAGAAGTGTTGAATGTGAAAGCATTTAATGCTTCAAACATTCAAAAAGAGCAGGCGAGTTCGTCCACATGTCAACTTGTCCGTGACAACTTTTCCTTGTCAGCTTCAAATGGGTTTGGATTCATTAGCCTTAACATAACCAAAGTGACAAATATCTCACCATGAAAGATTGCTTTGTTTACGTATATCTTAAGGGACAGCATCTCCAAAATGAGTATCAATTCAGAGTTCCAAAAGGCACAGTTAGGAATTGGATATTTGGTAATGAATTTGAGATTATCCAAAGAACATGACCATATTTGTGGGCGATGCTGACTTTGTAGCTGCCCGCCAGCATTGACTATCACTGATTGATTAGGCATTTATTGTGGCTAGAAAGTTGGGATGATCCAACCGTGTATGAATTATTATCTCCAGGTTGATATGGTTCGTATTTTGATTGAACCTTCCTAGAAAAGGTGATGGATAGGCACGTTTAAGTTTCTTATGAACACTCCACCGACGTTTTCTTCTTCTTCTTCTATGTGAGATTTCACATCGGTACATTTTTTATAAGAGTGTGTAAACTTCTTTCTAGTAGACACATTCTAAAGTCGTGAGACTGATAGCCATATGAATGAGCAAAAATAGACAATATCTATTATAGATGGGTTTGGACTGTTACAAATGGTATCAGATTCTGACACCGGACGGTGTGTCAGCGAGGATACTAGTGTTGTAAATTGTCATGAAGATGAATTGTCATAATTTTATTTATTTTGGTTATTAAATCTCATTTAGTTTATAACTATTTAGATTAATATTCTTATTTCGATCATGTATGAGAATTAGTACTGATATGCATATAAAAAGACTTGTTTTAACATTATTTTTAGGGGTGGAGTTATGTAGAGTCAAAGTGGAGTAATTGTTATTTTGTATTTGACTAGAGGCAATTGGGAGGAACTTTTGTCGAGAGATTTTTTGTAGTGTGAGAGTGTGAGAGATATAATTCTAAACACTTCGGTTATAGTGACTAGCTACCACAAGTGGATCTAGGGAAATTTCTTCTGTCCAAACCACATAAATTTTTGTATTTCTTTGTTTAATTTTTGCTTGTGGATGTGTGAGCGTGAGTGTGATCGATATTACTTCCGCTTCTACTATAACAATTGGGTATCATAACATTTTTGGTTGTGGCATTCCGCTACAACAATTGAATATCAAACCATTTTTGTGGTTGTGACATTACAACACAACAAGTGGTATCAGAGCATTTTGGTTGTGACATTTTGATACAACAATTGGTATCAGAGCATTAAAGGTTGTAGCAGTACGATGCCTAATAGGTGGTATCAGCGCATTGAAAGTTGTGGCATTTACGACACAACAAATGGTATAAGAGCTTTGGTACAACAATTAACATCATAGCATGGGTATCGGCTTCCGCTACAATAATTGGGTATCAACTTTTTGGTTGTGGCATTACGACACAACAGCTGGGTCTCTAAGGGGGTGGATAGTGAAATCCCACGTTAGTTCGAGAGGGGAACAAAACATTTATAAGATAGGTGGATTGTGAGATCTTACATCGGTTGGAGAAGGGAACTTAACATTTCTCACAAAGGTATGTAAACCTCTATCAAGTACATGTGTTTTAAAACCATGAGGTTGACGGCCAAGGTTGACAATTGACGGCGATACGTAACATTCTTATAATGGTGTGGAAAACTCTCTCTAGTAGAAGCATTTTAAAACCGTAAAACTGACGGGCGATACATATTTTAGATATTTTGGAATCAATCCAATCCATTTTAAGGATTTTTATTCAATAATTGCTTGGAGCTGCTAGTATCATGGCTCATGAGCGTCATCATTGAGGAGGCTCTTGGCATGATTGAGATCAACACCAATACATCGTACCAAATGATGATTTCCTTAGAAGAACAACTTCTCACCATGATAGAAACTATGAGATGCATATTGTGGCAGAAAATGAGAGAGATGGATATCCTTAACTTAGCCAAAGAAGTGGACCTAGAGGCCGTGGACGACACTACAGTACTGGAGGAAGATATGAGCAGCCACGAAGAGGCACACCCTGCAACCTTTGCACTCCTCCGTTACCTTTTGGGAGGCCTACACCCCATAGAAACTGTCTACCTGAGACTGTCCCTTGGCCCGTAGGTCCTGACACAAGGTTAGAATTCTAGCTCTTCCAGAGTGGTATCTCACTGATGGCTCGAGCCCTCGGAAGGAGGCCTTCTTCGCCCTCCACCTAAGCTGCGCACGAAAGGCCCAAAGTCAATCCCAGGACAACTGTAAGAGTTCAAGTCTACTACTAGCAGACATTATCCATTTTGGTCTATTATGTATTACTTTCAACTTCATGGTTTTAAAACACATTGTCTAGGAGGTTTACACACTTTTATAAGGAATGTTTCGTTTCTCAGTCCAACCGATGTGGGATCTCATAATCCATTCCCTCTTGGGGGCCAACATCTTCGTTGGCACATCGTCCTAGCTCTTATGCTATTCTTAACCATCCAAGCCTATCGCTAGTCGATATTGTCCTCTTTGACCCGTTACATATTGCTGTCAACCTCACGGTTTTAAAATGTGTATGTTAAGGAGATGTTTCCACACCCTTATAAGAAATGTTTGGTTCCCCTCTCCAACTGATGTGGGATCTCACAACAACAAAATAGTCTACAAAAGGAATCTAAAACTGTCCAACCACACATCCCTCCAATGTTGGAATAGATTTGATTGGTCGCTCTACCAAACCGAAGATGTACCCAACCTCTGGCTGCTCTAACACTAAATAAGATACTCGTGTGTTCTTACGTTATAGTCTAATCTCTCTTTTCGATGGAGCTTATCTTTATTTCATTTGTCCTTTAGTTCTACAATTGATCGAAGGAATCAAGTTGTCTTTAACCTTGTTTAACGAATCATACCTTGGATTCAGATAAGGTTTTAGAATCCCGATTTGGCATCTGATAGCTTTAGTATTCTCTTTTACGACATGGTCACGTTACTTACTCTTCCCTTTCAAGAACAAAAACTTCCCCCACAGACCAACACAAGTATTTTTAGTATGGTTCGTCCTCACTCACATGCATCATAGGAGGTCATCTAACGTAAAATTGCTCCAAGTAAAACGCGTTTCACTATTAAGTTTCTATGATTGAGCCAACAAAAAGAAAGTTGCACCTTGTTAGCATATACAGTGAGTTTCAATTTTTTTCAGTCTTTCTTTTCATTCAAATGTGGTCTCGGTTCATTCATGTACCTTAAACCGAAAAGAAAAAAGAGGTGAAAAGTGTACGAGAGAGACGTAGGTGAAAGCATTACAACTTGAACCTTGAAGAAGCAGTTTGTTTTGGATTTGAATTGAATGAACAGAGTCTTAGCCCATTGGAGAATGAAAGTGCTTTCGGAACCAATTTTAGCCCTACCCATTGCCTAACTCTTGAATATATCCTTCATTCCATGTACTTACCTATATTATTTGCTATGTCTTCTAAGCTCTTCTTTTCTAAGGTTGCAAGAAATGACATGGTTTTATATGGACAAACACCAATATTTAGTGGTAATTAACCGTGTTAAGAAACCCAAATGACCCGAAAAACCGATTGACCCAATTCAACCTGTACATGGGGTAAATTTACAGATGAATGGTAAGATTGAACCCTATCGGTTAGACCAAAATAAAGCTAGCCAAGCTCAAACCATAGAGATAAAATATATAACTTTTAGAACTACGAGAACTTTGATGAAGCTTAGCAAACTATGAACACGAAATTGAAACTTTCACAACCGTAAAAACCTAAATTGAAAAATCCAATTAGTAGGATCCCTTCAATCGTTGAGCATTAATCAAATCTAAGATCTCAATTCTCAACCACTAATTTTTTTAACATTGTATTCTTTATAATTGTGAGATCCCACTAGAGAGGAAAACGAAACATTCGTTCGTGTGGAAACCTCTCATTTGCAGACGTATTTTAAAATCTTGAAGCTGACAGTATTACGTAACTGGCAAAAACAGACAATATCTATCGGCTTACGGGTAACAAATACTCCTTTCTTTCATTTTGCTTTCCTCCAAACTTTGAGGCAAAAAGGGCCAAATATAAAAGGCCATTTAGAGGCAAAAAGTAAAAGAAAAAAAGGTGCATTGAGTTGAAACGTGGCATACAACACATAAAACCATCGACATTAACCCAACGTTAAAGGTTAGTCTTGTTTCTTTGCCTCAAATTTCAAACATTATAAAACTAAAAGGTCAATCAAAAACCTAAATGCTTTGCTTTTCCAATTGAGTTTATTAATATGGGTTGTTTGGGTTGATTGAAAAATTGGGTTTGGTCGAAAAACTGTCCCAACCCGATCCAATTCAACACACGAACACTGCTACCTCTGCTAATTAGTTATTAATCGATCTTCGCCTCATAATTATGTTTTTCAATACATACAAGATCGTGTTAGCACGAAGAGAAGAAGAATTGGGATATCAATGTGGATCATGACCAAACCTTTCTCCAAACTCCCAAAGTCTATACATATCTCTAACTACTTGGAATTTCTAACTTAGTCAAAAACCTAACTCGTTTTACCTTCCATTTCTTATAGTTGCTGATTTAGACCATTCCACTATTTTTCCACCTTATAAATATCGCCTTTCATGCATCCATTTTCACCATCCCAAACCCTTCTCTTCTTTGATATCTTTGTGTTCATAAAATGAAGCTCTCAAAGCTATTCCTTCTCATAGTTTTGATACTCATCTCTTATTCCACAACCCATGGATCTGAAGTTGAAACAAACAACAAAGAGAACGACGAGCGTTTCGATCATCTTCCTTCAACAGATAGTGACATTTCTCCACTCCGTGCCCTTCTCTTTAACTTTCAATCTCTACAAAAGGCTCGATTGACATGCAACATGTACCCGAGAGTGTGTCGAGCCAAGGGTAGCCCGGGGCCGGATTGCTGCAAGAAGAAATGTGTGAATGTAGAGACCGATAGGAACAACTGCGGGATGTGCGGGAATAAATGTAAGTATTCAAGGATATGTTGCAATGGAAGGTGTGTGAATCCGATGTTCAATAGGATGCATTGTGGAGGTTGTGGCAATGAGTGCAGCAAAGGAAGCTCTTGCGCGTATGGGATGTGTGACTATGCGTAGTTGAGCTGCAGCCCTTTGCATGGCTACGTATAGATGTGTATCATTTGTTAAGATTATGGATTAGGGTTGATATCATTTAATAGGGCTTGTGCATGCATGGCTATTCTTTGGTTTCTTAGTTTTCGTTAAGCTTGGTGTTTAATATTTTATGAAATATATGAAAGATTTGTATCGATTATTTTAAGTTATTGATATTGTATCATAAGTTACCGTCATATATGAATGGATTATCGTTTTAACCTACGACTCAACACTCATACACCTGTTTTGGCTCATTATGTATCGTCATCAGTCATACGATTTTAAAACGTGTCTACTAGGGAGAGGTTTCCACACCCAGTATTTCGTTCTCCTCGATATGAGATCTCACAATCCACCCCTTGGGGGCCAGCATCCTCACTGGTACACCGCTCGGACTCTTGACTCTGATACCAATTGTAATAGCCCAATTTCCACCTCTAGTAGATGTTGTCCGCTTTGGCCTACTACGTATGAGTGTCAGCCTCGTGATTTTAAAACATGTCAGTCAGTGAAAGGTTTCCACACCCTCACAATTAATGCTCTCCTCTCTCAAACCAATATGAGATCTCACACTGAATTTTATTCTAACAAAATTTGACATAAAAATTCAAACTTTTAATGCTTTATTAAGATGTATTAACTCAAGTGGTTGATTTAAATCTAAGTTGAGAAAGGTAGATTTGTTTAGAATGTAAATAAATGAATAATAAAACTAAAGAGAAAGTCATGTTCATGTTCCTCCTTGGTGACAGGTGACTTCTGAAGCTACAAGAATTAATATCCAATTAAAAACTGGTTGACTTGACCCTAAAATCCCTCCATTCCCACCGTGTAACAAATAGGAAATGGCCTCATAACCTTCCATGAAATGCCCCAAACTTCATCACTGAGTTCACCAAAAAGCAGAGAAGAAACAGAACAAACCAGCTCTGTTTAGCTCAGCCAGAGAAACAATGGTTCGAGGCATTATCAGCCCCCCAAGATCCCGATCTTCCCCCAGAGAAAGCAGACCATTCAACAACAATGGAGCCACCAATCCACCGTCCAAACCCAATTACATGTCCCCACGCCGCCGCCCGACGACACCCATCAACCCCAACGAGCTGCGAACCCATAGAAAAGAACCCCAACCCACCGTCGTGAAACGCCCAACCAAACCCACCGATAGATCTTCAAACCCTCCACGCATCGACCCATCAAGACCCAATTCAAAGCTTGTCCCCTCAAGGCCAGCAGCCCCAAGCCCAAATGAGAAGAAATTAGACACCAAAACTAAAACCACCACTAGATTCTCTTCCCCTCGCCCAACCAAACCAATAACTCCACCGCCGTCGAAGAGCAATGTAAAAGGAGCAACTGGGTCTGGTTCAAGATCCGATTTTTCTCGTGCCAAACCAAGCGATTCTCATAAGGGTTCTCCCAAAAACTTGCGGAGCGGTCGGTTGAGTGATCAGCAAGATGAACAAATTGTTCGTAGTTATTCGGATGGATCTTATGGTGCTCATACTCTTAGTGACCCGATGTTCATAAGTTACATCAGCTTTCTCTTGATGGTAAGCCTTTACCCATTTTTAGATTCAAAAGGTTTATGTATGTATCTTGCATAGAGGATTGTTGGTAGAAAGTCTCACGCTCCCTAATTTAGAAAATTTTATATCTTCATTGGTTCAAGGCCTCTTGTAAAGTCCAAAATAAAGTCACTACACTTTATGCTCAATATCATACCAATGTAGAGATCCGTGATTCCTAACATAGTATAAGAGTCATGCCCTTAATTTAGTTATGTCAATAAAATCTTAAGTGTCCAACAAAGAAATTTAGTCTCAAAGGTGTAGTCAAAAGTGACTCATGTATCGAACAAAGAGTATACACTCATGTATCGAACAAAGAGTATACTTTGTTCGAGGGCTCTAGAGAAAGAAGTCGAGTTTCGATTAAGGGAAAGCTGTTCGAGGGAAACATAGACCTCAAGAGAGGCTCTATGGTATACTTTGTTCGAGGGGAGGATTATTAGGAGGGAGTACTACATTGGCTAGTTTAGGGAATGATGGTGGGTTTATAAGTAAAAAATATATCATACTAATGTAGAGAGTAACGTTCTTGAAAATCTTGTGTAGATAAGGATCTTGCAAACATCGTTCTTCATGCAAATTTGGTATACGAATCACTCGCCTCAGAAACAAAGGAAGAAGAATGTTCTTCCCAAGGCAATAATGGTTCAAGAATGTTTCAAATTTACAAGGAAATTGCATGCCATCGTCAAGGAAACTCATCCATTACATCTTACATTACAAAGCTGAAGGCTTTATGGGATGAACTCGAGGCCTACATTGACATACCCAAATGTTCTTGCGGTTCAACACAGAAACAGAGTGAGCAAATTGAAAGGGAAAAAGTCATGCAATTTCTTATAGGATTAAACGATTCTTATTCCACCATTTGTGCTCAAATTCTTCATATGAAGCCATTTCCAACGGTGGAGAAAGCTTGTTGTGCAATACTTCGTGAAGAAAAACGCAGGGAATTGGTGTTGTCATTGGAGATTGTTGCGGCCAAAGTGATCCAAAACAATTGGCTTCTTCAGAATGGTCATTCGATCAATGGTGATAATGAAGAAGTTGATCATATGAATCTTCAGGACCTGAAAGCTGATCAAAATGAAGTTATGAGTACTCCCATTGAGCCATTGCTCATAGACCTTGGCTCTCCTGTTCGATGTTGAATGTTTTCAGCTCAAGAAAGCTTATCTCCATGTCTGGTGAGTAGCAGCTTGTACTCATTTATTAAATGCAATAGATATCGTTGAATAAATGCAAATAACCCATATCATGAACTGAATACCTATTTTTTACTTTCTAAGGTAGAAGGAAGTTTAGTTTATTCTTCAACAGTATGTAACTAATGTGGTCTGTATTGCTCGATTTGTTCTGTTATCTCACAATTTTAAAATGCATTTTTTCATGAGCAAACGTATCAATGCCTAAGTTCACTAATATTGTCTGCTTTGGCCCATTGCCTCACGGGAGAGGTATCTACACGATCATAAAGAATGCTTTGTTCTCATTCTCTAACTAATGTGGGATCTCACGGATTTCATAATCTATGTCCCTTGTGGGCCCAGTGTCATCGTTTGCACATAGCCCTGTGTCTAGCTTTGATATCATTTGTAATGGCTCAAACCCACTTCTAGTAGATATAGTCTGCTTTGACTCCGTTACATATCATCGTCAGTCTCACAGTTTTAAAACACGTATGTTAGGGAGAGATTTTTACACTCTTATCAGAAATGTTTCGTTCCCCTCTCCAACCGATGTGGGATCTCACAATCCACCTCCTTAGGGGTCTAGTGTCCCTGCTGGTACACTAGCTCGCTAATAGGGAATTTGACATGGGTAAGGCTACCGAATATAATCTCCCGTCTCTTTTAGTTGATAGGAAGAAATCTATCTTCGCCCTTACTTGTTGAAGTAAATCTTTTGCTTTGTTCAAGATAAATCTCGAGACTTACAAGTAAATGAAACTACGAAATTGTGGGATTTTTAAGTCGAGAAAGATTTATAATTTTCCATATGAAACAAACAAGTTGCACATAAACAAGTTGCAATAATTAAGCAAAATCCAAGGCTTAAAAACAAATTAATTGTTTATAGGCAATGAGGCCACATGATCAAGCAAGGTTAAAGGGTTAGGTGAAGCGAGGAAGGCACGTAGTTTACTGACTCTCACATGCCGAATCCAATTCCAATCAATACTTTATGATAACATAGAGTCGGTAACCTTTTTTGCACACAATACTAAAGAACAATGTCACATGCATAATCTTATACTTAATAATATTTAATCACTTAATTAATTAGTACAGATAAGATGCATTAAAATAATGTATGTTCTCAATAACCCCTTTTGTAGGGGCGTTCATACAATTTGATAATCTAATCGGCTCGAACTACTCAACCAAAATCATGAAGGTTAGATTGGGTTGGATTAGATTTTTTTTTTCGTTTGAGTTGAGTTGAATTTTTTGAAAAACTGAAATTTTTGGTCAATTCGCGCATTGTTTTTGTCAAGTCAAACAGACTAATGGCCCTAGGAAGGGTTATAATGTCCCGATAATGCTGAAGTCAACGATAAGCTTCGGTTGAACATTTTAAGATTATTTTGACCCCATAGAAGGTATGAACACGTCCCAATGAAGTTCCAAATTGATATAAAAACATGCGAGTCATGTTGTTAAGATATAGTATAGGCAAGGTTCAACTCTATGACCTAACCTAGATTGGAGGCCAGTGGTTTAGAGTTGCAATTGAGGAAAATACACGACAGAGTGTAACAGCTTATACCCACAGCTAGTAGATATTGTCCACTTTGGCTTGTTATGTGTCACCGTCAGTCTCACGGTTTTAAAACGTGTCTTTTAAGGAGAGGTTTCCACATATTTATAAAGAATGTTTCGTTTTCCTCTCCAATCGAAGTAGATCTTCTAGGGCGGAATGATGCTTAGTTCCACATGGGTCAAGTTCAACCGAGGAAGGAAGACCTTGTCTAAGGTTTGACAAAGCCACAAAGATGAACAAAAAAAAGTATATCTAGTTTTGAGTTCTTAATGCTGATCATGATTGAATGTAAGTCATGATGCCGCCCGCACGGTTTGAAAAGTATCTGACCCAATCCATAACAATTCAATCTTTTTAATCATCTCACCCCTGCTCAATGGTAGTTTGCGCCCGCACAGTTCATACCTGCATACACGCAACTTTATAAATGATATAAGAAAAATGAGATCCAAATTATGTTCATGAAACTACATACATTATTATATCAAACGTTTGATAATCAACATTAAATGTTCATAAAATGTTAGTAAAATTACACCTTGATGGGCATTGACAAGCCACCCATTGCACTAAAACAACCTTTTCTCACGCTGCCTCAAAGAAAACTTAGACCAATAAGCTGATCGCAATATGTCCACTACAAGTTTAGAATGAAACACACAAAAACACCCAACTGGAAGGATCGCTACCGCTCCAATGGCCAATGGAATCTTCGCCTTTGTTTTATCATATGCAATAAAGAAGGCTGCACTGAAAGCCACCACCATGCATGCAATAGATACGAATAGTGTCAATAGCCCAAACAATAGCTTGCTCGGCAACGACACTAAGAAATCTTCTTCTGCATAGCGGGACGTCAAGATTGATAAGAACGTGAGTATAGAAGTTGTAGACAACACTAGAGCTGCAACATCTGATATTACGAACACCGTAAACGCTTGATTTTGTCGAAATATAGGTATCCCTTCCTTGTCATCGTTGCCACCTGGAACTGTGAACGCTGCTGCAAAAACTACTGTCGCTATCAGTGTCGCCACCAGCATGCATGAGTTCGCCGTGTTTTTCATCCATTCCTCGCCTTGTTTTCGTAGTTGTTCGTGTTCTTTTGTAAAGAGCTCGCGAGGTGTTAGTTTATCAACTGGGTCTTGTGTTACCTTTACTTGGGAAAGCTCTGGAATTCGATCGCATCTCATTTGAAGATGGGAGGATACTACAATCTTCTCTACTTCCTTCAAGTTCACAACCGTTTAATTTTTAAATAATGTTGGATGTGACCCACTTCGATTGAAATACGTTGAAACAAGTAAAAGAAGCAACTATGTTGAAACAAGTAAAAGAAGCAACAATAACAACCCAGAGAAATGAAAAGTTAGGTGCTTAAGGTTTCTTTGTTTCAAAAGATTCCTTCACTCAAGTTATTTCACTCAAGTTGTCATTTATTGTTGTGACTTCTAATCCGGTGACTTCGTATGGTGACAGTATTTGTTTTGACATACTCTGATACCAAATGTTGGATATGGCCCACGATCGAAATATGTTAAAACAAATAAAAGAAACAACAACAACAAAGAGAATTGAAAAGCTAAGTGTTAAGTGTGAGATCTCACATCGGTTGGAGAGGAGAATGAAACTTCTCACTAGCAGACGCGTTTTAAAAACTTTGAGGGGAAGCCCGAAAGGAAAAACCCAAAGAAGACAATATCTGATAGCGGTGGTCTTTGGCTGTTATAAATGGTATCAGAGCCAGACACTGAGCGATGTGCCAGCGAGAAGGCTGAGCCCCGAAGAGGGGTGGACACGAGGCAGTGTGCCAGCAAGGACGCTTGGTCCCGAAGGGGGTTGGATTTGGGGGTCTCACATCGATTGGAGAAGGGAACAAGTGCCAACGAGAACGCTGGAGCCCGAAGGGAGGTAGATTGTGAGATCCCACATTGGTTGGGGAGGAGAACGAAACCTTCCTTAAGGGTGTGGAAACCTCATACGCGTTTTAAAAACTTTGAGGGGAAGCCCAAAGAGACAGACACGTTTTAAAAATCTTGAGAAAAAGCTCGAAAGGGAAAGCCTAAAGAAGACAGTATTGGGTAGCGGTGAACTTGGGCTGTTACAAATAGAATCAGAGCCAAACACTGGGCAATGTGCCAGCGAGAACGCTGGGCCTCAAAGGGGAGTGGACACGAGCCGGTGTGCCAGCAAGGACGCTGGGACCCGAAGGGGGTGGATTGAGGGTCCCACATCGATTGGAGAATGAAATGAGTGCTAACGAGGACTCCAAAGGAGGTGGATTGTGAGATCCAACATCAGTGAAGAGAACGGAACATTCTTCATTAAGAGTGTGGAAATCTCTCCCTAATATTAACGTTTCTTTGTTTCAAAAGATCACTCCCCTCAAATTGTCCTTTTTACTTGTTTTCGATCGTGAACTATATCCAACAAACAATGATAAAAAAAAAAGCTCATACCTTGAACCATAGAAGCTCGCGTTGCATTTGTAAAGCTGCTCCTGAAACTCTACTCAAGTGATCTGGAGCTGCTAGTAATCCAGCTAAGTGTAGCATGTTGAGTTGTTTTTTTCTATCATGAAAGTTGGCAAGAAAATCCTTGAGGCCTCCTATCTCATATATTAAACTGAACACACTTTCTTGTCGATTTTCAACTGCTATATGAAATATGCTTTTGTCGTCATCATCAACTTTCCATAGCAAATCGGGATATGAACGAATGAGTATTATCAAGAACTCAGCATTTCCAACTCTTGCAGCATCGTGCAATAACCTTGAGGGGTTCTTTATAAAACTATATAGCTCTCGTTTTGTAAGTTCCTTGACCACGAAATTCCATAGACGTTCCACCGTTTGATGGGCTAATTTCTGCATCAGAGCTTTGTTGTAAAGTCCGTGAAAGCCTAGCAAGCGCACACATATATAATCATGTCATTATATGTTAACGTAGGTATGAGCTCAAGCTCACTACCAGTAGATATTGTTAATTTTGGCTCATTACGTATCGTTGCCAATTTTACGGTTTTAAAATTCGTCTACTAAGGAGAGGTTTCTACACTCTTATAAGAAATACTTCGTTCCCCTCTCCAACCAATGTAGGATCTCACAATCCTCCCCCTTAGAGGGCCCAGCGTCCTCGCTAGCACATCTTCTGGTGACTGGCTCTGATACCATTGTAACATCCTAAGTCCATTGCTAGCGGATATTGTTTGCTTTGGCCCGTTACTTATAACCGTCAGTCTCACGATTCTAAAACATGTCTACTAGAGAGAGGTTTCCACATCCTTACAAAAGATGCTTCGTTTCCCTCGTTTCCCTCTTCAACTAACGTGAGATCTCACCATATATATTCTTACCCATTCAAAAGAAAGCAAAGTTGATGTCTTACGAGAGTTTATGGATGTTTTCCAAAAGCTAAGCTCGGCGTGGCTACCAATAGCAGATGGTTTTCTAGCAAGTACATGCAAAGCTGTGTCGCCATTCTCCATTCTCTCCT